TGGGGTTTGTAACATCAAAAAAGTAAAATGTATGACAATAGCACCAAAGTCAAGAGAAGAAAAATGAAAATAGACTATTACAAGCTTTTCATACTATACATGAAGTGGTACAGTAACACTTGAAGGTAAACTGTGATAAATTTGTAGATAAGATGTATACTATAGACACTAAAGCAACCACTAAAATAGCAAGATTAAGAATGATAGCTAATAAGCCAATAAAAGGATAAAACAGAATGATAAAAAATAGCCAATAAATCCAAAAAACAGAAAAAGAGGAAAAAGGAGACAAAGGACAGATGAGAAAAACAGAAAATAAATAGCAAGATTATAGATATAAACCTAACCATATCAATAACTGCTTTAGACATAAATGGTCTAAACACCCCAATTAAAAGGCAGAGATTGTCTACTGGATCAAAAAGCAATACCTTTCAAAGAGGTGGAGCACAACACTCTACTCCTTAAGTGTGAACTGCACATAGTGACTTCCTTCCCAAAAGTACAGTACGTAAGGGGTAGAAAAGAGTACTTTGCAGCGGAGGAACCTGACTCAGCCAGGTGATCAAGATTAACACGAATAGTGAATGATAAGTCATGCTGACGGTATATTCTTTGACATGGGGCAATTAAAATACACATCCTTTCTGAGTGCACAAGAAACATTTACCAAAGTAAATCATACTCTGGGCTATAATTTCAACAAATGTTAAAAGATTTGAGCCATACAAAGTATGTTCTTCAACAACAATGGAATTGAAAGAGAAATCAGTAACAGAAAGATATCTGGAAAATCCACAAATATCCGGAAATGAAGTAATATACACCCTAGTTAACTCAGGGTCAAGGATTAAATCAAAAAGAAAATTTTAAAGTATTTTGAACTGAGTAAAAATGAAATCACGCCTATCAAAATTTGTGAGATGTCACTAAAGCAATTTTTAGGAGGAAATTTACAGAACCACCTATATCAGAAAAGAAAAAAGGTCACAATGACCTAAAAAAACTAGAATAAGAAAAGCAATTTAAGCCCAAAGGAAGTAGAAGAAAGGAAATAATAACAAGGAGCAGAATGCAAATCAATTAGAAAAGAGAAAAACAATAGAGAATATCAATGAAACCAATAGCTGGCTCATTGAGAAGGTCAATAAAATTGATAAACCTCTAGTCTAGGATTTCTCAACCGTGGCACTATTGACATGTCTGAACAATTCTTTGTTGAAAGGGTCTCTCCTGTTCAATATAGGATCCTTAGCAGCATCCCTGACCTTGACCCATTAAATGCCAATTGCAAACCCCCCTCCCAGTACTCACACACAACACTGTCTCCAGACATTATCTGTCTCCAGACAATTATCTAGTGTTCCTGGTGGCTATAGGGTGAACTACAACCCATACTTTGCTCCATAAACAGAAATTATCTCAAAGTAGACTGACCTAAATGTAAAATGAAAAATTTTATAGTTTTACATTCTTTTATTGAGTTTTCCTGAGAGTTTTATAACTCTGAGACAAAAATGTCTTTGTGGCCTTGAGATAGGCAAACATTTCTTAGGTACTACACCAAAAGTACAATCCACAAAAGAATAAACTGATAAATTGGACTGCATTAAAATTTTAAATGTTTGATTTGAAAGAAAGTCTGAGAGCCTGGCTTCCTGTCCTAGGCTGTGCCTTTCACCTACTGTGTAACCTCAGAAAGTTACTCAATCGCCTTGAAGTCCATAGGGCTGATAGGGTATACATGAGGATGCCATGTGAATTTATCCAAACCTTGGCCTACAAGGCTCTGCATGACCTTTTGCCTGATTACCAGTCTATCTTCATTTAGTTCTCTCCCTTGAGATGACAGTGCTCTGCGACAACCACTTTCTCTCAGTTCAATAAACCCATATACGACCAAGCTCCTTACTCAATGCTATCTCCTCTGTTGATCTTCCATGCCTCTCTCCCCTCCACAGCTTCTTAGTCCACAAAAACATGGCTAGCTCCTTCTTAACAGTCTCAGCTTAAAAGAAGCTTTTCTTAACGTTAACATAGGAGGCCCTGGTTACTCTATGTCTCAGCATCCTGTTAATGTCCTTCTTTCCATTCAAGATACACTCAGTAAGTAATTCCGAAGGATATACTGCAGGCCAGGTATTGTTCCAGATTCTGAGGATACAACAGTGAATACAACAGCACTGATGGAGTGTACAATGTAGTGGCAGCAGAGAATAAACAAAGGAGCAAAAGATAGGGTATATTCGATGGTCCTAAGTGCTATGGAGAAAAAAAGTAAATTGCCAAGGAGGGTGGGAATTGCAATGGGGGTTTACTGAAGGCTAGTAATTCCGAAGGATATACTGCAGGCCAGGTATTGTTCCAGATTCTGAGGATACAACAGTGAATACAACAGCACTGATGGAGTGTACAATGTAGTGGCAGCAGAGAATAAACAAAGGAGCAAAAGATAGGGTATATTCGATGGTCCTAAGTGCTATGGAGAAAAAAAGTAAATTGCCAAGGAGGGTGGGAATTGCAATGGGGGTTTACTGAAGGCTCACTGAGAAGGTAACACCGAGTATGTAAGTGAAGGAGAGAACCATACAAATAAGGGGACTGGGCAGCGGCATTCCAGGCAGAGGAAACAGCAAGTCCAATGGCTCTCAAATAGCAAGGAAGCTAGTTTGTAGAAGTATGAGGAAGAAGACTAGCAGATGAGATCACAAGGTGATAGAAAGGGGGTTGTTTGGAGGACCAGTTGGGGTAAGCTGTGGGGGCCACTGTCAGCTCTTTGCTTTTCACTCAGAGGGAGATGGGAAGCCACTGGAAGGTTTTGAATACAAAAGTGGTGTGACTGGATTTACATTTTAAAACCTGCAATCAGTCTATCTTCATTTAGTTCTCTCCCTCAGCTGGTAATGTTTTTATGTTCTGCCTATCTTCCCTACTAGATAAAGGAGGGAATCACAGCTGTCCTGTGCACCTTTGTAACTCCAGCACCTAGCACAGTCCATAGACACTCAATGAATATTTACTAGATGAATGAGGTAATCTGTGTAAAGCATTCACTGGGTAACTGTTATTATTTGTAACCCCCGAGTCCAGCCAGGCTGGTATGGTATGAGGTAAGAGCTTGCTTGAGTAAATGGTTTTGTAAAATTATTGAAAATCTACATTTAAAGCACATGTTAAGTAATGACAAATGAATCCATTGCTTTTCACCCTTTCCCTTACTTACTGAGACGTGCATAATTCTGTTTTGAGTTTTCCTTTAAACTCTCACACTATGCTACTGAGGGCACTACCCAGAACAATCCCATTGTGACTCAGTTCTCTAAATACACTACAATATCGTGCAGACACAATTAGCACTAATCCAATGAAGCGCTTGTAAAATTTCTAATTGGGTAAACTTATTCACATGATTTTTTTTAAACAATCTTAATGTACAACGCTGAGCAGACCCAAACTGGTTTTGAGTTTTGTTTAATTCAAGTGAAGCTCATTAACTCAAACATGTGGACAAAGAACCAGGAATTTCCACTTTTTATTTGTTTGGATATCTCCAGAGGTTTCACCACGAAAAAACTTAATGAGGATTTACACCTGTTCCTTTCTCCCTGGGGATGCTGTGGGTGGGAGAAGGGAGTAGTGGCCAGGCTAAGGCCTTTCAGTAATTAATTAGCTCAGGAACAGCCCTTGGGAGTATCACAGTTTTCCAGAAAGAAAACTAAAGAAGGAGCCATGCATTAAAGTAAAAAAACACACCAAATACTCCATCTTATAAAAGGTGAGCCCTCTCCCCTAATGATGTTTAAATGTCTCAATGGCAGGGCCCCGAGCAGTGGGAAGGCCAGGTACGGTCTGGATGTTTATACTAACCCTAAAAGTGGTTGAACCCATCCAAGCACAACCTCATATCTTGCAAGGACTTCAGAGCTGTGGAAACCTTGAGAAAAGCAGATGAAAGTTGCTTGAAATCAAACTTTAAAAAAGAAAAAAGTGGTGCAAAAGTGTGCTTAGCGGCTAGAGAAGAACCTCCTGGGTTTGGCTCTGACCTGCTGGTGCTTGTACACAATCGTGCCTGCTGGCATCTAGCTCAGACGCTCCCTTCCACTGGGGGAGGGGAAAATAATAACTTTCTGAAATAACAGGCGTCCATGAATCAAACGTCACACAGGACTTCTCAATCCCCATCAGAAAGGTGGCTAATGTTGTTTCGAGGAGCACTGATTCCACACAAGTTCCCCACCCCTCGCTTTCTTTTTTAACGTAAGAAAAATAACCTAAGGAGGAGAAGGTGCTGCCATCAGACCCTCAAGGCAATTTCAGACAACAAAGACCCCAAGCAGTCAAAATGGAATTATAATCGGTGCCGTCGCGGAGGCGCTTGGCTGCCGCGCCGCCGCCGGTCCCTGCGTGCCCGGGCCCCACGCGGCTCCCCGCGGTCGCTGCAGCCCGGGTGCGCCCCGAGCGCCGGTTACCGGGGAGCCTCGCGCCGCCCACGCTGGGCGACCTCTGCACCGCGGCTGTCCGCGTCCTATCCCACGCGGCGCTCAAACCTTTCCCGCCCAGGCGTGACGCGAGGCACGAAAACAATCAGCGGAGCCCGAGCGCGGGGGCCTGGGCCGACGGGAAGGAGGGGATCAGGGCCGAGCCCCACGCCCAGCCCCTTTCTAAGCCGGGCGGACCGACGGGCTGGGGCCCGGAGGTGACACAAAGAAGCCGGAGAGACAAACGCCACCCGCTGGCGCCCGCTCCGATCCCAGAGCGCCCCGCCCGCTGACAAGTTTGCGACGCCCTCCACGCCCCCCGCGCTCCCCACCCCGGCAAAGTTTCCCGGGGCCGGGCTCGGACCCCCGAAGCGGGTCAGCCCCGCTGCGGCCGCCCCTCGCCCCCCGGCTCGGGGACGCTACCCTCCCGCCCTGCGCCCCTGCCCCTCCCTCCCTCCCTCCCCGCCTCAGCCCGCTCTCTCCGGGCGCATCGGGGTGCTGGGGCCCCGCGGCTGCGCTCACCGCGACCAGCCCGGCGATGGACGGGGAAGCGGGTTGGGGCCGGCCGGGTCGGCGTTCCGCTTGCCTTTCCTTTCCTTCTATCGCGCCTTTTGCTGGTTCTCCCGCTCGCTTTTCGGTCCAGCCCAAGGCTCGCGGCGCAGCAGAGCGCGCTCCGCTCCTCGGCTCTCGGAAAGCTGCAAACCACGCCCCGCGCCTTCCCCGCCCGCCGCCAGCCGCCGAGTCCCGCGCTCGCCACTCGGCGGCCAGTGTCGAGCCCGCCCGCGAGCGCGGAGGCGGAGCAGCCTGCTCCCCCAGCAGGCCCCGAGGTAGCCCAGGGCTGACAACTTTCTTTCCGTGTTTTGGAACATCAGAGTTGGTTTGAAGCAGACGCACACTCAGTGTACAGGTTGACGACAGGGGCTGGGGGAAATGTCACGAACTCCATGCAAACAGCAGAAAAGGCCGATTTCAGCAAGGAACTTCTCTAACCTTCCTGCACTCCTGGATCGTGGGAAGTGATATTAAGACGGCATATCCGCGAATTAGCTACCAGACCTTGATCAAGTCGGTTAACTGTTGTGGATCCTTCGTAAATGAGGAATTTGGATTAGATGGCCTTTAAGATCTGGATCAGCAGTTGGTACAGTGTGGTCCAGACCTGAGGGTCTCCTGGAGGGAAGGGGAGGCATGGTTAATAATGAAAAACAGAGTCCCTCCCTCTCCCTGGAGGCGGGGGAGAGGAGAACGGCCCTAATCTTATGCCACGATATACATCTTCCAGGTCTGAAATTCTCGGGAAGCTGGATCCTTGGAAATCCATCCTGCAAGTGCAAGTTTAATTTTCCAGCAAATCACTCAGTGCCTTTGGACTCAGGATGGTGTCAGTTGACACCTCCTGTGCTGCTGTTACAGAATTACTAAGGCACTGGAGGTCCTAAATGAAAGCTACTGTACCAACTCACTATTATTACATAAAGAAGTGACTTCAAAACATTTCTCTCTATTGAGTTTGTATCACAGATTTAATTTCTTAGAACTCCAAGTACTTATTTGTTACATGGCTACAGAATCTTGCCTCAATTACTTACTTAAATTTGGTGCTTATCATGAAAGCTAAATGATAAAGAGCAGAGAGATTAGAGTTTTGATAATGCATTCAGTTAACATACATTGAAGGAAAAAAAATTAGTCATAAACTGTACCCACAATTTGGGACAATTCTTTCAAAATCCTGTACCTTTGTGAGTACTAGAATGATTAAGGTAAGGGATTTGAAATGCACATTTTATTGATGGTCAATAGCTCAGCTCTTCACAAAACAGCACATTACAAATCTACCTCATTCCTTGTATTCTAATAAAATAGTTTAATAGTATCGCGCTTCTCTTCTTGGACTCCTAGGTATGTATTATTTATTATTAATGGCTTGGGTCACAACAAAAGTCCATAAAGCAAGAAGATCCCTCTGGCCCTGGCCTGTCTTTTCACAGAACCATTTGCCTGATACAAAACATGCAAATCAAAGAGCCAATCTCAGGAGAGGTTTGGCTCCAGGGTTTGTGAAGCTGTCAACAAAAGCATTGTCTGCTATTTTCTTTCTCTTAAAGGATTGCTTCCTTTACAAGAAGTGCTACAATATCAGCGTGGCAACAGTTTCTGGAGAAAATGCAATAAATAAGTTCTTAATGATTGTTCCCTTCTAAGTATCTATGCTCCAAGTCCTAGAAATGAAAGGACTGTTGTTCCATATTGTATCTAGTGCACTTAAGAGAACCCAGAACAAAATATCTCAAAATGTCCCCAATTAGAACCTTCTAATTATCTGTGATATCTCTTAGCCATGCCAGTTTAGATATTAAATTAATGCCTACTTTTAAATCAGCTCATTAGACTAATGGCAAGAGCACTGAAACAGATTCTCTGCTCTTTGAAATGAAAACAAAATATAATGCTAATCCAAACAGAGACACACCTGGTCTTCTGAAAAACATTACCGGGTATGTGAAGGAATGGCTCATATGCTTACATCTCTGACTGGCAGAGTAAGTTTGCCGTGAATCTAGCCATGCCCACATTCTCCCATGCACCAAAACATAGACATAGTACAGTAACATAGTATGTCATGTTATGCCTTTTAGCTTATTTACATCAGGCCTCTGTATTTATAGCAAAAGATACATTCAGTTTGACCTGAGTCGTTGACCTGAGTAGCCCACCTGAGAGACGTTGCCAATTCCAATTGTGATAAACACAAGTTTTGCAAATTGATCAAACTGAAAGCGCATCTGTGACTTGGTACACAAGCATGCTGTGGCAAATGGTGAGAATTACTGAAGCAGACATTTCAATACATACTGGCGCTTTGTATTGAGCAAGACAAAAAACATGGTCTGAGGCATTCAAGCTAGTTGGACATCCTCATGACATTAAAGGAACTAAATTCACCACTATTTCAGTTAGGCAGCAACTCATCTCTGTCACAGCATGGATTTCTCTGAACTAGAGTTATTTACATTCCTCCATCCCACAATAGCCTGTGAGTTTTGCATCCTGGTGCCTAAATAAGAAAGGCAATGGGTTTTATACTGGAAGCCGATTGTAGTCTTGTACTTGGGGGCCATGTTAAGAAGGATTGTAGGGCTACATCTAGGTTTGGCAAGAAAGAATACAAGTTGTTTAGTAGCTTAGTCCCTCCCATGGGCACAGAAGTGGGGATTATTGACTATCATGTATTTATCAACCCTGATGGCATTGGAGATAATGTTAAATGATTGGCTAGATGGATAGTGAATTTAAGAACAATGCAAAGTATCTTTAGCCAAAGAGGCAGGTAAGGTATAATATTAATCAATCAGAAGTAGGATGAGACCATCTTACTACTTGTTCTATTTATTTTATTTAATAAAAATACTACTGCTAAAAACAAAAGGACATTGGTTTACAGCTCAACACTCCTTGTTAGGATGCCAACCTCAAGGAACAGTCTTCTGCTACAATATTTTTTACTACTTTGGGAGCACTTATATAAGCCTGGGATGAAAATAGCTGGCCAGCAGCATCACTCAAATACCAATACCAAGCAAAGACACCACAAAAAAAGAAAATTACAGACCAATATCCCTGATGAACATAGATGCAAAAATACTCAACAAAATATTAGCAAACCGAATTCAAAAATATATCAAAAAGATCATCATTATCAAGTAGGATTTATTTCAGGGATGCAACAATGGTACAATATTGGAAAATCCATCAACATCATCAAACACATCAACAAAAACGAGGGCACAAACCACATGATCATCTCCATAGATACCAAAAAAGCATTTGACAAAATTCAACATCCATTCATGATAATAACTCTCAACAAAATGGGTATAGAGGGCAAGTACCTCAACATAATAAAGGCCATATATGACAAACACACCGCCAACATCATACTGAACAGCAAGAAGCTGAAAGCCTTTCCTTTAAGATTGAGAACAAGACCGGGATGCCCACTCTCCCCACTGTTATTCAACATAGTTCTGGAGGTCCTCATCACAGCAATTAGACAACACAAAGAAATAAAGGGCATCCAGATTGGTAAGGAAGAAGTCAAACTGTCCCTGTTTGCAGATGACATGATATTCTACATAAAAAACCCTAAAGAATCCACTCCAAAACTACTAGATCTAATATCTGAATTCAGCAAAGTTGCAGGATACAAAATTAATACACAGAAATCTGTTACTTTTCTATACACTAACAATGAACTAGCATAAAGAGAAATCAGAAAAAAAATACCATTCACAATTGCATCAAAAAGAATAAAATATCTAGTAATAAACCTAACCAAGGAAGTGAAAGATCTGTATTTGAAAACTACAACACACTCATGAGATAAATTAAAGATAGCAATAAACGGAAACACATCCCATGCTCATGTATAGGAAGAATCAATATTGTTAAAATAGCCATCTTGCCTAAAGCAATCTACAGATTCAATGTAATCCCTATCAAAATATCAACATCATTCTTCAATGAACTAGAGCAAATAGTTCTAAAATTCATCTGGAACCACAAAAGACCCCAAATAGCCAAAGCAATCCTGAGAAGGAAGAAGAAAGCTGGAGGGATTACACTCCCCAACTTCAAGCTCCACTGCAAAGCCACAGTAATCAAGACAGTTTGGTACTGGCACAAGAACAGAACAATAGACCAATGGAACAGACTAGACAGCCCAGATATAAACCCAACCATATATGTTCAATTAATATATGATAAAGGAACCATGGACATACAATGAGGACATGACAGCCTCTTCAACAACTGGTGTTGGCAAAACTGGACAGCTACATGTAAGAGAATGAAACTGGATTATTGTTTAATGCCATACACAAAAGTAAACTTGAAATGGATCAAAGACCTGAATGTAAGTCATGAAACCATAAAACTCTTAGAAGACAACATAGGCAAAAATCTCCTGAATATAAACATGAGCAACTTCTTCCTGAACGCATCTCCTTGAGCAAGGGAAACAAAAGCAAAAATGAACACATGGGACTACATCAAACTAAAAAGTTTCTGTACGGCAAAGGACATCATCAACAGAACAAAAAGACATCCTACAGTATGGGAGAATATATTTGAAAATGACATATTCAACAAGGGGTTAACATCCAAAATATATAAAGAACTCACATGCCTCAACACCCAAAAAGCAAAAAACCCAATTAAAAAATGGGTAGAGGATATCAAGAGACAATTCTCCAAAGAAGAAATTCAGATAGCCAACAGACACGAAAGAATGCTCCACATCACTAACCATCTGGAAAATGCCAATTAAAACCACAATGAGATACCACCTCACACCAGTTAGGATGGCCAACATCAAAAAGACTAAGAACAACAAATGCTGGCAAGGATGCAGAGAAAGGGGAACACTCCTACACTGCTGGTGGGAATGTAAGCTAGTTCAACCATCATGGAAAGCAATATGGAGGTTCCTCAAAAAACTAAAAATACAAATACCATTTGACCTGGGAATCCCACTCCTTGGAATTTACCCAAAGAATACAAGTTCTCAGATTCCAAAAGACATATGCACCCCTGTGTTTATTACAGCACTATTTACAATAACCAAGATGTGGAAGCAACAAAAGTGTCCATCACTAGATGAATGGATAAAGAAGAAGTGGTACATATACATAATGGAATAC